AGGTCGTCCTCTGAGATATCGGTGCCGGACCGGTGGGGCGGGGGCGGGGTGGCGTCGGAGCAAGTGTCTCGGCCTTCGGTCGACGGAGCGGCGACCCGCGAGTACGCTTCGTGGGCGCCCGACGAGGGTGGTGCTGCTGTCGCTCTGCCGCGTGCGCAGGCGTGCGCAGGCGTGCCGAGGTCTCGCGACGGCACTCAGCCCTTCGCTGGGCGTGTGGGACGCCGGGTACGACGAGCACGGCTTCTGGTCCGTCGAGGCTGCCCGCGCGGCGCGCGACGCGGCGGCGGCGCTTGCGCTGGACGCCGCCGACGGCGGCGCGGGGGCGGCGCGGGGGCGGCAGGCGCGGGGGCGGCAGCCGGCCCAGCGGGTCGCGGCCCTCCGCCCCCGCGGCGTCGTTGGAGGGCGAGCACCTCGAGTACCTACGGCGGCGGGGTGCGCCGTGGGGCGAGCCGCCCGTCGCGGGCGCCGCCGCGCCGCCGGAAGGGGCGAGGCGGCGAGCGAGGATCGTCGACTTTTGGCCGGGGGGCGCTCTCGACACTTACCGGCTGAGGTCACGTCGTCGGGCGCGTCGACGGGCTGGTTGGCCATGGTCCGCACGGCGGGGCGGCTGCGCCGCCAGGACTCGCGCGTCGCTGCACGCGGCCTGCAGAAGGAACGACAGCTCGGCGGCAAGGCTTTTCTTGCGCCGGGACGGCTAGGCTTTTTGTGAGACGCCGCTCGCGGAAATCGAGGAAGGCTTGGACTTTTCTTTTCTTGGGAAACGGGAGTGTTGGTTTAGAAGAGGCTGGCCAGCGACTGGACACACCGGCATGGGGGGACGCAAGCAAGGACGGGGATTGGAGGTTGTAGAGAGATTTAACTTTTAAGCACAACTCGACGGGCGAAATAAAATTAGAAAGAAATGTACTCCCTCCCTCCCTCTCTCTCTCTCTCTCTCTCTCTCTCTCTCTCTCTCTCTCTCTCTCTCTCTCTCTCTCTCTAAACCGTCTCACTCAAAATCTCTCTCTTTCTATCTCGGCTCTCTCTCTCTCTCTCTCTCTCTCTCTCTCTCTCTCTCTCTCTCTCTCTCTCTCTCTCTGTCTCTCTCTCTCTCATGTCTCAAAATCTCTCTCTCAGAAGCGGAGCACACACGAAGATCGAAGTCGGCACAACAAAAATCCCCTTTGCAGCCAAGCCTACAGGGCACCTAATTCTTTTCGGCGGGGCGGGCCCAGTCCAGCGTCATCGTATCCTGCCGAGGCGGGGCGGTCACGAGACCGGCTGAAATCGCGGCCACAGCTGCTTCGGGGGCTGAGGATGGCTGGATATGATCAGCTTCTCCCGAGGTGCCCGCTGACCAGCTGGGTACGATCAGCCGTTCAGAAGCTTTTTGGGCGCGGCCAAGCGCAGGCGCTGGGTAGGACAGCGCGCGAAATTTCTTTTTTTCGCGCCACCGCGCCCGCGCGCCGAGCCAAAGGAGCTCCGCGGAGCCGCCAGGCGCCCGCCCCGGCGATTCGCTTGCTACGCGTCGCTCACCGCCGGGGCGGGCGCCTGGCGGCGCCGCTGCGCAAAAGAAAGAAAGAAAGAAAACACACAACCCAAGGGAGGGATGGGAGGACGGCACGCCGCCACCACACAGGGATTTTAAGGAGAGGTGTGTGGTGCGCTAGCCGTCGCCCACCCTAGGGAGTCTGCCTCTTCCCGCGCAAAAAAAGCATTTACGTAGTAAAATTCTTTTCGTCGCGAAGATGGCGGGCCGGGCCCAGGATGCTGCCATCGGTCATCGTATCCTGACGCCATCGTCATCGTCATCGTCAGGATATGCTGCTGATAGCTCTCCTCAGCAGCATCAGCGGCGCGAGCGTGGTCTGGAGTGAGGCTGGGACCGCAGTCGGCCAGCCCGTCAGCGTCCTGCAGACCGACTCGCACCGGCTGCTGCTCATCGGCCGCGTTGTCGTCGGCGCAGAGTACCGGATGGAATGGGCGAGGGACCAGGCCGTCTTCTCCGGTATGGCGCTGATGCAGTCGGTCGGGTTCCTCACCGAGCCCGTCCCGCGGAGAGTGCTTGCGCTCGGGCTCGGCTCCGGCACTGCGCCTGCGTTCCTGCGCGCCCGCGGCATCGCGACGGACGTGGTCGAGATCGAGCCGAAGGTCATCGCCGCGGCGGAGGCCCACTTCCTCTTTGGCGAGCACCGTGCTCCGGGCAGCACGCTCTGCGCGGACGCCGTCGCTTACATGCGAAACGCGACGGGCGGTGCGCCCGCCTCGGCCTCGCTGCTGTACGATGCCATCCTGAGCGACCTCTTCGACGGTGGTCGCCACACCCGCCCACCGGCCCGCGGCTCGCACCGCGCCAGCCCGGCGCGAGATCCCACCCCCGCCTCCCGCGCCCCAAGGCGACAACCCGATGGGGCTCCTCGACGCGGACCAGCTGCGCGCCCTGAAGGCGGGCTGGCTGCAGCCGGAGACCGGAGTCCTCGCGCTCAACATCGTCGCCTTCCGCACCGGCCCGCACGCGCGGCTGGCGAGGGCCGTCGCCGCGACGCTCCGCTCCGTCTTCCGGCACGTCGTCGTGTACGCAGACCACGACCCGCGCGCCGCCGACGGCGACAGCAGCCTGCCCGGCAACCTGCTCTTCCTCGCGTCCGACACGGCGGTCGCGAAGCGGCTGGCGACGCCGCCGGACGAGGGCGACCCGCCAGAGTCGAGCTTCTACCTGCACGCACACTTCAAGGGCTGGGCGCCGCCCGAGCTCGCAGCTGCCGCCGACGGCGAGGAGGGAGACGTTCTCGCCGCGGGCAGCGGAGGAGGCGGAGAGCCGCCGGCGTGGCTGCGTGAGGCGGCGGCCGCCGTCCGCGCAGCGGTGCCGGAGATGCAGCGCGACGCGCTGCCGGCGGAGGGGTGGCAGGTGGTCGAGCGGCTCGTGGCGGAGCGCTCCGGCGGCACGGCGACGGCCAAGGAGGAGCTCCGATGACGGCTCACGCGTCACGGCGCTCACGGCTGTGATCGGGCTGCGGCTTGCGCGCTTCCGCACCTTCCGGCGTCCGATCGAAGCGAAATATGTGTTTCTATTTCCCCCATGTGTGATTGTCAGCACGGCGGAACTCCCCGTCTCCGCAACCTCGCTCCGTCGTCAATGGAGGTCAAGCCCAAGGCGGGACGGGACGGATTCCCACGACAGACGGATCGGTGTGCATCACAACTGCGTGCCTCGAGAGTGTGCAGCTCGGTGCAGGACACAGACACAGAGAGGGACGAGGACGTCGTACTCGCGCACAGGCGGGCTCGTCTCGCTCTCAGCGAGAGGTGCTCGTCGCACCCTCAACGCCCTTCCCCGCAAGGCTCATTACGCGAGCGTACTCCTCGGCCTGTGCCCTCGCCTCCGCCCTGGATCGCTCCTCACGCACCCGCTTCATCGCTGCTGCTTTCGCCGCCTTCTTCGCCTCCTTCTCTTCATTGGTCTCGGCCGCGCACAAGCTCGGCGAGCCCAGGGCGAGAAACGAAGCGGTTGCGGGCGCGAAGAGGGCGGCGCGGCGTGTGAGCTCCGGCGGCGCCGACACGCGCAAGGCTCGTGTGAGCTTCGGTGGTGCCGGCAAGAGCAAGGCTCGTGTGAGCTTCGGCGGCGCCGGCACGCGCAAGGCTGACGCCGACAACGCCAGCAGCGCACAGATCGCCCGCATGTCCAGCAAATGAAGAAATAATCGCGCCAAAGCTTTTGTGTGCGAGGGTTCGCGCTGCGCTAGGCTCAGAGCGAGTTCGCGCTGCGCTAGGCTCAGACGGCGAGTTCGCGCTGCGCTAGCTAGGTAGGCTGGCGTCGCGATTTCTTGTTGGTTTTCAAAAATCTCAAGAGAAGATCTCTCGGCTACGGGACCGCCGGCGCCAGCGTCGGCTGAGGGCTAACAAGCTGCCGAGCCCAAATCACTGTTGGAGTCGTGATTTCTTGTTGGTCTTCAAATCTCTCTCTCTCAAAATCTCTCTCTCTCAAGCTGAAGATGTTCACGGGCCCTCACACTGAGGGAGGGTGTAGAGGATGTAGAGTGTAGAGCGCTGTAGAGCTGTAGAGATGTAGAGCGCTCTGGAGCGCTGTAGAGCTGTAGAGCTCTACATCGGCTGCGTGACGAGGCGGGTGCGTTGTAGAGCGATGTAGAGCGCGATTTTGCTGTAGAGTTTGTTGTAGAGGCTCTACAGCCAAACCGCCGGGAAGGCAGTGACTCAAAGAGGTCGAGTCGCACTAATGGGGTGTCTCCGAGCTTACTGGAGCTCTGATGGACGGCCCTGACTATCACTGACACACAGAGACGGTCACTCTGACGGCACACAACACCCTATAACTGCGTCATGACCAGCCTGCCATGCGTCGCCGGTGCCGCATTCGTCGCTGTGCTTCTTTAGCAGGCGGTGGACTATCGGCTGCGAGGACGGTCGCATTTGCGCGAGGCGAGGCGAGCATTCAGACGCGTTGCATGCGCCATGACTCGCGCCAGCGCGTGCGGGAGCTCCTGGCTGAGCGTTGAGTCCAGGCGAGTTGCGCTGGCCACGATCGCTACGCCAAGCCGAGCTGACGCGCCGAGGCGCCGGCCAGTCGCAGCCGTGAGGCATGCCACAGCAGCAGAGGCACCTCCCACCCATTGGGCGGGCAGACAGAAGGCCAGGGCAGCACTGGTAAGTGCAACGCGCCTCAGTCGAGA